AAACACAATTTTTAACTCAACTTTAATTACTTAATTAAAATTTTTTAATTAAAAATTATTATAAAACTTAAGAATTGATAAAAAATAATAATAATATCTAAACTCTAATATAAAATAAAAAATAAAAAAAAAACCCGTGCAACGCACGGGCAAAACAAAAACTAGTTTTAACTATTTTGTTAGTCCAAAGTAAATGTTTTATTTTCTATTGTGTGAGTAAACTCAAAAGAAAAAAATTAAGGAAACTAAAAAATCAGATAAGTATAATTTGACAATAAAATTTGAGAACAAATTGCCAAATAAAAAATCATGAAAACAACAACAAGAACCCGAACACTTGGTTTTGGTAAGAAAACAAGCTCAACCTGCAAAATAGAAGAACAGGTTAACAAAAAGATTTTTCCATAAGAAGTTGCAATAGTATTAGAAAAAAAAATGAGAAAAACAAAGAAAAAGGAAAAGAATAATATACATCGAATCTTCAAATACAGCCTGCAAAAAAAAAAAAAAGTATAATAAAAAGTTTAAATTAGCTTTAGGAATTTTTCAATGCTTCTAGTTTTATAGCATATGAATTGTAACAACCCAGCCCCCTTCGGCCCCTCTGGCTTTATGGTATCAAATTGTGTCAATAGGAGAACTCTTCCGTGCCTTGTTTACCATTTGTAATGACTTAACCCGCCATTAATATTGTCTACTTTGGACTTTTGGTTTCATGGTTTTAAATCACCCAGAAAAAATAACAAGTGTTGACTTATATACCTAACATTTTTCATGTATTTTGTCAATGTGGGATTTGCTTAAAAACCTAGAAGTGTTATATGAATGAAGCTACCAGTGGCAAATTTAGGCTACAATTCATAAAGTTTTGTTTTGCTATTGAATTAATAATTAATGGAAAATGTATGTGTCAACAGCGCCATTTCTCAAGAATGCCAGAACTTAAAAATGCGACTTAAGTATACTGGTTTGAAGTTACTACATGAGCAATAGCCAGATCATTGACCTCCTCTTCTGTGTCTCCATCATCTTTGCTTACATGCTGCCCTCTTAACCGACCTCCTCTTTCTTTTCTCCCTCCTTTCCCCTCTCCTTCAAGCTTGTATGAAACTTAGCCACAATCTCACCAGCATCAGAGGTAAAAATAGGTTGACCTCTAGATCAGGTTTAAAAATATTGTATGAAACTACTATTATCCAACCCCTTCGTAGATTGTTAGAAGAAAAAGATTATTATTACAAACAAATAATAAAATAAAACACAAAAAATGAAAAAGAAAAAGTGAATTGTAAAAATTAGGATATCTTAATATTTTGATTGACTATTTGTGAAATTGTTTAAATATCTTTAATGAATTTTCTTTGTGTATTGATTATTAAGGTTATTTTAAGTATTTTTATTATCATTTGTTATAATTTAGTTGATAGGACGGTTTGATTTTTACAATTTCAAGAAAAAAAATATGATATTAAATAATTAATTTCAAAAAGTTTTAATCAATTTAAGAAATATGTTAATAATTAATACTATGTGGTCAATAATTCAAGTAATTTAATGCAAATAATCTTTTTATAAAAGTAAAAAATTTTGAGTTTGAATCATATAATATATAAATCAGTTAGATTAAGGGATAAAAAAATCACATTATATGCAAATGAGTTAGATTAAATAATTGAGTTAGATTAAATAATGAGAGATGATTGCCTCTCATTTTATTATCAAAGATAAAAATAATATATTTAATATTATGTGATAAGGATAAATAAAAGTAAAATTACTCTTACCAATCTTAATTTATTTGATTTACAATATAACTAATTTTATAATCAAACAAAATAAAATTTTTTACGCAAATATATTGTATAAAGCAAAAAAATATTTTTTACTAAAATGACCTCAAATAGAAGAAAAAAAATTCATACAAACACAAAAAGATATAAAATAAAAAAAATTAATGATATCAAATGTAATTGTGAAAGAGACAAAATAAACTTTCCATGTAAAATAAAAAAGACATAAAATTTACAATAATTACAACAAATGCTATCACACAAAGACAAAAGAACCTTTTTTTAATATAAATACAGAATACACAAAGAGTTTGTAAAAATTACACTGATTGTCATCAACTCAACCAAAAACCTTTGAACTTTAATAAATTTACAAAATTATCAAAATTCAATTCTATTTCTAGAAAAAAAAAAAAAAAAAAAAGAAACATTCAAAACCGAGACAGGAAAAATTTACAAAATTATCACAATGCAATTCTATTTCTAGAAAAAAAAATATTCAAATAAAAAAAAAAAAGGAAGAGGATAGAATACCTCCTTATTACTGAAAACCCTGGCAATGAATACACACTTTAAGGTACTTTAGGAAATCAGGGCTGATATTTCTAAGGCGAGGAATGAACAGTTAGCTACAGTGCATGGACTTCGTTATTTTGTGTGAGACGCAAAACCAATGTAATGAAGAAACTGTTTAAGGGCGGCTTTGGGCGTTCGCATATCTTGGTTTTCATATCTAAAATTTTATAATTATAATATCATTTAATTTTATAAATTTATATTATTATATTATCTAATTAATTTTTTATTTAAAAATTATTTATAATATTATATTTATTTATTTAATATTATATTATAATTATTTAATAATATATAATATATTATAATTTTATATAATATTATAATTATAGAATTGTAACTTTTATATATTGTATTAATGATGATTTCATCTCAAAGAAATATTTTTTTATTTTCTGAAAGGTAGCTTCTTTTACTCAAATAACATTGCACGTCCTCACGTCGAGATGGGCATGGCATGGTATGGTACCCGTACACTTTAATTTTTCAGTAACCGTTTATTTCAGCAATGAAATTTTGTTGTCAATACCATACCAATTGTGGCATTTTTGGCAATCGGTATGGTAGAGGAAAAATTGGTAATCCACATTCCATGCCCTTACAGTCCCAAAATTATCGAACCATAAATTTTCATTTTAGTCTTGGTTAAATGCTTAATTTGGTCCCTTAACTTTATGAAATGTACATTTTTGGTCCTTCAACAATTTTTTGCACTTTTCTGATCCCTCAACTATACAAAATACACTCCGTTAATCTTTCTGTTAATTTGTGTCGTTAACGCTGCTTATGTAGCATTTTTTATATTTTTTTTGATGTGTGGAGAGCAAAACTTAAAAAAGTGATGATATACATAAAACTTCTGCCATGTCACATGCTACTTAGCATAATTGCGTCAAATCCATCCAAATAGGTCCCACATCACCACTAACCCATCGGTTACTGTTTTTCTTCTTTCCATAAACGGTGTTCTTTCCATTTTCAAGATTGAAATTCACAAAACCCAGCAGATCTGGGTTCGATGTAACCCAACAAATAGGTTCCATCGAACCCAGCTCGATTCATTGAACTCAATTGCCCAAAAATCCCTCACAACAATCTGCAATTACCCAAAAATCCCTCGCAACAACCTGTAATTTGAATAATCTCTTGGCAAACAATCATATAACAAAAAAAAAAAAAACCAGTTACCCAAAAATACCTCACAACAACCTGCAATTTAGATAATCTCTTGGCAAACAATTATATAAACAAAAAAAAAAAAAAGTGGAGCTGGGTTCTGGGTTCGCTAGCCTAGCCCGAGGAAGAAGAGGAAGAAAGAAGAGGAAGAAAAAGAGAAAGGAAGAAGACGGAATATTTTTATTTTTTTTAATTATAAATAGTAATCATGAGATGGCATAAAAAAAATCCACATCATGAAAAAAAAATCCACATCAACACGTTTTCAATTTATTTTTGCCACGTCATCAAAAATAAAAAATAAAAAATGCCACATAAGCGAGTTAACAATCGAAATTAACAAAAGGACTAACGGAGTGCATTTTTTAAAGTTTAAGGATAAAAAAAATGCAAAAAATTGTTAAGGGACCAAAAATGTACAACTCACTAAAGTTGAGGGACCAAATTTAGCATTTAACCTTTCTCAATCTTGGAATCTATTTGTCTTTCATCATAAAACCAAAACCCAGGATGAAAAATGGAATAGTCTTTGCTATTTTAAACGAAACCCACTCATCAAGAATTCAAAACAATTCAAAATTTTGAAAAATTAAAAAAAAAAAGGTAGTTAAGAGCATCTAAAGTTTAGATTCTAAACTTGCTGTCATGCCTTCATTTTCGTTTGTCAATCCCTTATATTTCGTTCACCGACTGGTCTGAGATTTGAGGGGAAAGGGAATAGGAATGAAAACAATTGAAAAGGGAATGTAGAGAGAACATAAACTGAAGCTTACTAACTTAGACATGGTACTTGTGTTTTGAATCTCTTAATTACGAGGGTAGAAAGAGAAGTTCTGTACGTTGGATTTTGACTTTGAGTGGGTCATGGATCTCAATTTGAGGTGAGATTGTAAAGAAAAAAATTTTACACTCCATTTAGATTGAAGAGTTACGAGGGAAAGGAAAGGGAAGTGAGGGAAAGGAGGAGTGGTCTTTATTTTATTTTTTTTAGATAAACTCATTAAAAAGGAGAAAGGGATAGAAGAAAGAATAATAAATTCCTTTCAAATTCTTCAATTGGAGAGAATTTTAGAGAGATTTGCTTTTATTTTTTTAAAAAAAAATATAGTTAAAATTTTTATTTTTATTTTTATTTTAATATGTAAAATTATAGAATTTTAATTAATTTTATAATTGATTTTCTTTAATTTATTTAATTAAATAAAAAATGTAATCTTCCCCTCCCCTCTTTTTTTTTTTTTTTCATTTACCTAAACAAAATTAGTGCTAATCCTTTACTTAGCTTCCCTTCCTCTCTCTTCCCTCCAATTCCTTTCCTTTCATTTCTTTTACTAACTTTTATGTAAACATGTTCCTACCATTTGTTTAGATTGAGGGAGTTGAAGGTGAAGGGGAGGAGAGTGAAGGAAAAGTCTCTTCTCTTTCTTATTTTAATAAAGTCATTAAGAGAGGAAGACAAAGTGGGAGGTTGATGGAGACATAATGAACTCTCTTTAAATCTCTTATTTTTAATCTCTTTAATTTGAAAAAAGTTAGAGGGATTTGATCTACTTTTATTTTATTTTTATTTTTTATTTTAAAAAATATAATTAAATTTTCTATTTTAATTTAATTTTAATATATAAATTTATAAATTTTTAATTAATTTTATAATTCTTTTTCTTTAATTTATTTAATTAAACGAAAAATATAATCTTCCTCTTTTCTTTTTAAATTTATCCAAACAAAATTAATATTAATTCTTTACTGTCCTTCCCTTCTCCTTCCTTTCCTTTCCTTCACTTTTCTTTACTAATTTTTATCCAAATATATGCTTAGGGTTAGACTGGTTTTATTTAAAAGGTTAAATGAGAATGGAAACTTAATTTCTATTTATGCACAATTAATAAGAAATTAAATAAAATAATATATACGGTGGGCTTGGTAGGATCCGGTAAGTCTGGTAATGGGCTTCAAGTGCCATTGCCGGACCGCAGCCCAAAGGTACTTACCAAATTACCATTTTGGGCTGCCATTCGGTAATTTTGTTGATGCCATAGTCGATACGGCATCTCAGTTCCACGTGGCGCTCAGTGATTGCAGTGTGAGTGCTGATTGTGCTGAATAGGGGACGCCGGGCACGGTAAGGAATCTATTCCTCGGAACCCGAATGTGGTAATCGGGCGGTCCAGATTTCCTCTGTGAAATGGAGGGACGAGATTATATTATCCTGGATTACGCTCACTACACTTGTAGGTGTTCTTGTCGGCTTTTGCGACTTAGCGTTGTTTCCTCTCCTCTCTCTTCTCTCCTCTCCTCTCCTCTCTCTCTAGAGATTATCTCTTGTGATCTAACCTTTTATCTCTGATAAGATGAAGAAGCGTGGATATGTAACATCTTCTTCTGATGAAACTGAAGAACCGAATGTCCACCAGCTGGAACAGCCTGAAAGTTCCAGATCCAAAAGAGGTGGTAAAGAGATGGTAGAGGTTGAAGAGAAGGCATCTCTTCACCAACGAAAAAATGGAGGCCTTAACAGAAAACAAGAGATAAAGCCGGATAACAATTATCCAAAGGTAAACAAATTAGTATACAATCTCCGTTTCATCTTCTTAATTTATGATTATTTTTATTTCCCTAATTTTTATATTTATGTTTCTTCACATTTGGATTCAGCTGGAAGCACTTGTGACGGAACTGAAAGGTCTAAAGGATACAACTGAAGAATTGGTAAAGGAGAAAGAGAAACCTAAATCTAAGAGAACTGCTTCGGAGCAGGAGATTGAGACACTTAAATCTAACATTACTGTGCTGGAGAAGGAGAGAGATAAATCTAAGGTTACTGCTTTGGAGCTGGAGATCGAGAGAATCAAATCTAAGGATCCTGCTTTGGAGCTGAAGATCGAGACACAAAACCATGTGGTTACTACTCTGGAGCAGGAGATCGAGAAACTTAAATCTAGGGTTACTGCTAAGGAGCAGGGGATCGAGACATTTAAATCTGAGGAAACTGCTTCGGAGCAGAGGATCGATAGAGTTAAAGCTAAGATTACCGCTATGGAGCGGAAGATCGAGAGACAAAAAAGTTTTATGGTAGCATCTCTATCTTCATCTCTTTTTCTCTTCTATTTATGGTTATGAATAGTAGCAAAATGTGTTCTTTCTCTAGATTTTTTAAATAATTCTTCAAAATGATGAATGGAATGCTATCAGCTGCTTTATAATTTCTTAGACTGCATTTAGTATGGCTGTAGTTCTTGGTTTTTATAAATTTTGCAACTTTAAACGTAAAACTGTTTACTTTTATGTGTTTGTGCAGCATGTTCTCATGATTACTAGAAATATAAGAACAAAAATAGCTTTAATACTATTAAACAAGTTTACATTTTTTGTTATCAATGTTAAAACTTGTCTCAAACAAATTGTTAATTTTTATTTTAAGTTTTGGTTTTTAGTAGTTGCAAAATTTATGAAAATCAAAACTAAAAGCCAAAAACCACCATTATATTAAACGGAGCCTTAATTACTAGGTAGACCTTGTTGTGGGAAGAAACGAGAGTGGAAAAGCTAGCACATCTTATGTTTTGCATGCTTACTGTACCTGTTGATGTGGGTGGAAATAAATTGTCAACAATTCTTGAAGCTCTGCTTCTCATTTTTCTCTGTTTTCTATTTCTAACATAGCAAGAGGGGGAGAAGAAGTCAATGGAAATTGGCAGTCCACCGAACATTGGCAGTCCACCGAACATAGGCAGTCTGGTGGATCCTATGCACACAGATTTTGAAGAAGACGTATGACAATGCACATTTTCATTGCTTGTGGATGGGAATAAAATTATCTGCAACTTAGACTCTCTACTTATCATTTCTTAGTTCTCTGTTTCTGGCATTGCAGAAGAATATGTTGATGGACTGGAGATTTAGCTGACTACTTTTTTCCTTTGAGTGTGATAGTTCTTATTTGATGCACATCATTCATTGTTTATATATGGATCTAAATTATCTACAATGTTTATGGCATTGCAGGATTTGAAGTTTATGATTGATGATTTATCTCATGTGAAAGTTCTTGATGAGGAATGATGATTCTTATCTGATGCACAGCTTTTATTTTTTTTCCCTTTTTCTTTTGTGGTGTAGCACTAGTGTGCTTCTTGAATGCAACTTTGATAGTTGATCTTTTTCTTGTGGTACTGTAAATTTCCCCAATTTAGTAGTTTTTTAGAATAATGACTGAGTTATTGTGTTACTGTCTGTTGTCAATTTCTCCTGATTAATGGGATTAAGCTTGGTAACATTGAAGGTTTATAACAATTGTGATACGTCACTATTTGATTGTTAATCTCTAACTCTCGACCACTAATTCATTTTCCATACTGTTTCAGACTGATGCTTTTCCTCTCCTACCTCCCGAAAGACCTGCAAAAAAGACATGTCCCCCAACAAGCAGCACTTTATCTAGTGGCTTCACATCCAGTACTTACCAGTCAATCTGCCAATTTGCCACTGCACTGGTCACTCAGAATCATCTGCCCTCCACTGCTGGGGGTGCTGAATTGGAGGAAGCCACACTTAACAAGCGAGCCTCTACCTCAGCTTCGGGTATAAGCAGCACAACTGATGTTCTGAAGCTTTACAAGGTTAATCCGCAGAATTAATCCTCTCTTTCATTCCCACTGCTTTTTCCTTATTTTCTTGCTCAACTCTTTTTGAGAAGCAACTCTTTTCCTCTGACTTTACCAGAATATGGAGCCTTGTGTTTCCCTTGCCATCCAGCTTGTACAAGAGATATCTAGAGCACTAAGAGAGTCAAGAGCTGTGAATGCCGACGAGTACAGTGCCTACCAAGCCAAAGATACTGCAGATGACGATAGCTAGGGAGCGGCTCTCTGGCTGGTCTTGCGTAGAACCGATAAACGGCGGCACAGTCCCAGCAAATATAGGCCTTTAAAAATATATTATATGTAGTGATAATTGAGATGCCTGTTTGATCCCTTCGAACAATTTTTGTTTCTTCAGTTTTTTCTTCTTCTTTTATTTTTTTTATCTATCATATGGAGGGTTTGTTGTTTTGTAATTCGAAGTCTGAATTTTTTATTATAATTCTAAATTAAGGTTTTTATGTCAACATTGTGACTACTTTTCTGGGTTTCACTGGTAAATTTTATATTTTGAGTGGTTTTTATTTTGTGCAATTTAATTTGTATAACATATTTTATATTTTATATTTTAGGTTCTTTATTTAACCTTTTCTCATTTTAGTGCTTTTTGTGTTTTTCTTAAAAACCATTAATTTTTGGTTAAAGTATCATTTTGGTTCGTCAACTTTTTATTTTAGTATCAAAATTATTTTTTATCTTTAAAAAATATCAAAATTATCTTTAAATTTTTATTTTTGGTATCAAAATAATCATTTCGCTAATTAATGACAAGTGACACGTTAAAATGTCATAAAATCAATT